GGTATACTCATACCATTGTAAGAAAACTCAACTATAAGTCCTTCATCACATTAAACGAAATAGGATGAACGCATCTTATAGAAAGCCAAGCCTTATTTCATTGTAATAGAAAGATAATGCTTCAAGGCCAGTATCATCTTGGATGTAAGAGTAAAACCAAACGATAACTGGCCAAAAAGACTGTTCTGGTGGCATTGACTTTCGAATCCCTTCCTCAAATAATTTCACTAGAAATTGAAGTGAGCTGAATTATGCTATAGAAACCTTGTGGACACAGTGATATGTCCAGAAAGCGGTCTGTTTCTACGTCTTGACCTGTCTAATCTCTGGCTCAAGGCACTGAAGAGGAAAGAGTCAACACTTGACAGCGTTTGCGTTTCAAACTTCACCTTTGATCAGTCCTTCTTCTATCTTCCCTCCTGTCTGAAGGAAACGCTTGTTCTGCCCAAATACCCTCTAGGCCATAGTGATTGAGAGAGAGAGAGAGAGATGCGAGTCAGGCCGTCTGATCGTGAATACATCTCCTCGACCACAAGCTTAGTATCCACAGTGAGAGCAACTGCTTGTCACTTTTTTATACTGTCAACATTCCAGAAGACGGGATCTCCTCTTGAAGACGTCTCTTTATGAATTCGGGCACACAAGTCATTATTTGGTCAGCTCTTGAGGTACGCTAGTAGTAAGCTTAAGTTTTTACACCTTTGTCCCAAAAGCCCCTTTATATAATCTTGTATTTGAGTGAAAATTCATAAGCACTTAGGATTCATAACGTTTAGCCTACAACACCGCCTTTAGCTATTCTCGACTTATTGAAGATTCTACGGAAGCTTCCCTTGGTAAGTTTTCAGTTGTAGCCAAGAGCTGTTGTGAGATCAAGAGAAACGGGGTTTCGAATATTCCTTTGATGGATTTATGTCGTCGTAGATATCATTTAGTCTGTTAAGTCAAATAAAAGGAATTCGTGAATTGGCCTTACCGGTAACCGCGGGAGGGAGCGCATTTGTGCTGTGACCTCAGTCTTAGTTGACTAGGTTCTCGGCACATCGTCCTGCGACCCTGTCATGACAGATATTGTCAGAGACAGACCCCATCATTTAATAAAATTAACTAAACCTCTTAACTGAGAACTGGAGGTTATAATAACTACTATTAGATGTCTTTATTTGAGTCCTGTTGCTGAACTCTTTAGGAACAAACTAATTAACAATGGAGACATTTATCTTGTAGGTAGATCTCACTATAAGATGAATGCCAATTCATGTTGTTATGAAACCGTTTTGACTTATTATGGCGTTCACTTTGATTCAGTCCATGTGGTATCCTCCCTTGGTTGGGAGGACAACTATCTGAGATTTCGTCCGTCATACCAGTTTACATAAATTGTCAGAGCTGCAATTTAACACTAGGCCAAAAATAATATCTGGCTGTAATTTATACATATACACACATTCAAGAAAAGGTATCTTGCTTTATATTAAAATGAACTAACTAACTCATTCTATATATTTTCGTTTTTAGTTATGAGTTTATATAACATGTAGGTTAGAGTCGTATAATCTTCTTAACTTAGAGTTAACTTTAGACTTTTGTAAGAATGACCTACAGCTCTGACTCTGCCTCTTAAATGGGATGATGGACGGTATAGTTTCTCCATTTTACACCCATAATTAAGGAGGATTTTTCATGGACTTCGGCAACCTGATCATCTGCCCAACAACGGGAATCTAGTGTGATCAGCTTACCGATTTTCACATAATAAACTTTCATACGAAACGAAAGTCTCTACAACAATTTTATTCCAAGAGATTAATCGAAATTCGGTGTATCTATGTATATAAAATGAGGCGGATCTGTGCAGGAAAGGAATCCTCTGAATTCGTTGACCTCGGAAAGAGTGAGTTGTTTTTATTCAGTAATTATTTTGCCTTTTTCAGTGCATTCCAAAAATAACTTCTCAGACAGCTGTGTTTCCTGGGTAGTTTCAGTGACTCTTGTTTTCTACTCACAAGTATTGTTCAAAAAACATTTAGTTATTAAGTAGTATACTTCAATCCTATCAGTAGGCACTATAGTAAGCCTAGGCTACATAATGTGATAAAGGACTAAATGTTGAATTTCCCGAAAATTACTCTAGTAACCCTCACGTTGCCATTGAATTTCATTAATTTTTGTTCCCTAAGAGGAATTTTAAAAAGGAATACAAATCCTTTTATACGGCAGGGCATGATGAGGCCGACTCGTACCATTGTGAATAAATTCACCATCAGCCCTTGGTCATCCTCCTTATGCGAACTACAGGGTTGGAATAAGCCTTTTTTGTCCATAATTTGTCAAAAATAGGTTTCTCGCATCGCAGGTTCCTTTTCTAACCAACTCGTGCCAATTCTTTTTAGACATAAAACTGAGCATGCGGCGCTCGTCATTTGGTCTCTTTGGCTCTATTGGATACCACGAAGCCCTTGAACCAGGCCCTCACTTTGAGTCGGAGTCAACGGCCCCCAGAACCATGACCTCTTCCTCCTCAATCAGCTCTACGAATGCTTCGGGTCAAGCTGAATCGCTTCCGGTCGGAAGAGTCAGTGGGTTGAGGCAGGCCGAAGGCAGAGATCAGACGCGCGGCGAGTTCAGCTCTCGAACAGGACACTTAAATGCGGATCGGGCGGGTCATCTGCCTGAGCTTGACGGTCAATCGTTCGTCGGCTTGCACAGTGTTCAGATCCGGTTGTCGGGCGGTCGAGTAGGCCGGAGCCAACTTGTCCGTCAGACTTCGGGCAAGTGGATTGACTCGGACAGCGTGGATTGGCTTGACAACGCCAGCGCTGGCGCCGGCGCCTCCGGCCTCTGGCCAGGCCGTCCCTGGCTTCTCTCCAACGCCAGGGGCTCGGTTCTCCCGAAGAGGGCCGCCCGGCAACCACACTTGACCTCGACTGCTTCCAAATTGTCCGATGATCTCGGCTCCGGTGTTGGCATCTCTTCAACTTACCTCTCCGACCCCCCATTCGCAGCCGACGGCGCCTACGCCGGAGATGCAAGTGAGGCTGAGGCTGGCAACAGTTTTGACAGTGCCGGCGCCTCGTCAACAGGGAAACCGCGCTCTTTGCCCACACAAGGTTTGGTTGTGGTGACAATCCAATTCTCGGATGGCAGTGTCATCCCCTGGCATCGCTGGGACGAGGTTGGTCCACTCTCTTATTCCAAGGTTGGCGTGCTCGAACCTTGCACCCTTGACTGAGGAGCCTTTTTATTACATTTTCTCACTTGTCTGCTACTTAGGCTGGAAGAATCAGGAATTCGTAGGACGCATTTATGCATGTTGCGAAGCCAGTGTTTTGTGAAGGATCTGAAGGTCGATTCCGCCAGAAGACGACAACGAATTCCTCTTGAATAGCTGTAGATTGGCTTTGCTAAAACATTCATCCTGACGCTGTGTCCGAGGTAATCTTCTTCGATTCTGGTGAAAACGTACTGAGCTTTCGCCCGTCACATGATAAACAGCATCAGAGCAGTGTATCACCCTTACAACCAAATTCAAGCTAATGAGTCAAGAAAACTAACCGGCACATCGCCAGAAAGCCGTACATCTACTCTATGTCTGACCTCTTTAATGAAGTAAAAAGTGATTTAGCTAGTTCCACTCATATATCTCGTTAGCTTGAATTTGGCTGTAAGGATGATACCTTTCTTTGATGATATTCGTCAAATGACGGACGAAAGCTTAGCACCTGTACACCGGAATCGAAGCAGATTATCTCAGAAAACAGCTCAACATGAATGTTCCAGTAAAGCCAATCGACAGCTGGTCAAGAGAAATCCGCAGTAGTCTTCCGGTGGAATCGACTTCCGAATATCTTCAGCAAATACGTTCACTCGAAATTGAAGTAAGCTTAGCAGTAATGAAACAAGAGCTTTCTGGAAACCCAACTTTTCTTCGCATATGCTCATTTACTCAACTTAAAAATGAGATAAAGTAGGTATGTAGAAGAACTTGATTTCGAAGAACCCCTTGATTGATTTCGAAGTGCCTTTCATTTCGTTTGAAGAAGCGAATGGAAGGGATTCGTAAGTTGGTCTCACCGGAAGCTGCAGGACCTCGGCGTGCCGCACTGCGGTCCCGATTAATCCTTGCGACATCGTCAGAGCAGGACCCCATGCTTTACGATAATTCACCAAAACACGAAAACACGAATTTAAACCTACCCATTACTTATAGTTCAATTTGGACAAATAAATTAAGAATATCATATTTGGTTTGACCTCCTCCTTGTGACAGAATAGCTGCATCCTCGCCTAAACTACGTATACCTTTGATACTACAATGTTGCCATCGCAAGCGTGTCATGTGAATGAATTGCCCTTGCAATGAGTGGGATGTGAAAGTCAAAACCAGATTCAT